TGTCTCAACAGTGTTCCATCAAGAGGCGCACGGTGGGAACAGGGGGCCATCCGAAGTTTAACTTCACTATTTAATTCACCCTGTGGACCTGTGGAATTGGCAGCGAGACTGTTTCTGTGGGTATATCCATTTTTTAAAAATCTATCAGTGAGATTTTAATGATTCATGAACCTTCACATTTCATAACCTCTTCTATAGGAAGTGCAGGTGCAGAAAAAGCTCCCCTGGGAAGCAGGAGTCAAGCTGGCAGGGAGGCCAGTCTCAAAGGCCTCCAGCAGGATTTCACCGCAGTGCCTGAGTGGGAGCCAGGGATGCCCCTTCTTCCCTGTGCTTGCTGCCTGCTGTGACTCCCCGCCCCAGGGAACGAGCAAAGCCTTCCAGAGTCCTGTGGTGTGACATCGTGGTGCCGGGCTGGCCGGGGTTCTGTCTCGGTAGTGTTTGTGTGATGCACAGTGTCTACCAGCTGTTAACTAGTGTCTCCCCTGAGCGTGTGAAAGGGTGCAGAGTGTGACCCCTTCTTCTTCTGAGAAGTAAGCCGGAGGGGATGAGGACCAAGTGCATTTCCACGGTCTGCTCCCTGAGCTTCACCTGCGATCTCATCCCTGCAGCGGTGCGACTTACCAGCAAGCCTTTGCTCCCACAGAGGTGTGGGCCTCACCTGGATCACCCGCCCTTTTCCTTGGGCGTCCCATTGTGTCTGCTGTGTGTCTGTCTCTGTTCCTCCTGTGCTTTGTGTACTTTTCTGATCACCTGTTTCTTTCTCAGACCACAGGCTCTTCCAGGGGCTGTGTCACCTTCCCCAGTGTTCTCCCAGCATACCCAGCACCTGCCCAGGGCCTGCAGCACCCACCCAGCAGGGAGCCTCCTAATGGCTCAGAGCCCAAGGCACCAGTCTGGGATTCTGGGGTCCCTGTGTCTGTTTCAGAAGCATGTCAATGCAACTCCACATGTTTTGGTTGATGTTGGCTTAGTGTGTCTTTTTCCACCCTTTTATTATCAGCTATTCTGTATAATTTTGTTTTACTTTAGTCAGCATCTCACTGTATCCTTTTAAATTGTGTGATTATCTGTTTTTTAATGTAGTCATATGTATTTTGATTACTAATGTATTATTACTTTGACTTATTTCTGCCACCCTAACTTATATTTTCATTTTATATTTATTGTTCATTTTCTCTTTTTTCCTTTCTTTTATTGTCTTCTGTTAGGTCAAAGTTTTTATTTTTGTTCTTTGCCCTTTTGGTTATGAAACTCTGAATTGCATTTCTGTTCTTATAGTAGTTACTCTTAACATACGTGCTACCTAACTATAATTCTTTTTTTTTTTTTTGAAACAAGGTGTCACTATATAGTTAGGCTAGTCTTGAACTCAATATGTAGTTTGAGGCTGGCCTCAAAGTCACAGTGATCCTCCTGCCTCAGCCTCCTACTTACTGGAATTGCAGGTGCATACCACTCACTATGTAATTAGAACTTACATGAACAACCTCATTCCACTCTTCCTTATTATTGTTGTTTAGATTAAGTGTTTTAAAATCATTTAAACTAATTTTTCTACCTAACAGTTAAATTGATGAAGATATCACATCAGTTCATCTGCCTCTCGTTTGGTTTTTTTGTTTTTTGTGGGGTTTTTTGTTGTTTTGTTTTATTGACAGGTCTCTTATGTAGTCTGAGTGGCCTTGAACCCAAATAGATCAGAGTGCTGGGATTACAGGCCTGCGCCACCACGCCCTGCCTGCTGTTCTTTCTTACGTTGCATTTCTTTTCCCTGGTTCAGCTTTCTTCTTTCCAAAGCACATCCTTCAGTAAAGGCTTATACCATCTTACCTAGAATTCTTATTTTATATATGTGTATTGTGGATGGAGTTTTGTTTTGTTTAGAGGAAATGAAATGACCTGTTAACATTCAGGTCAGGTTAAAGATCGCACCACAGGAGCATGTGCTGGTGTAACTCAGTCTGATCTGCCCAAGCAGACCCAGCCCTCACTGGCAAGACCCCTCATTCGTAGCTCTTGGGCTTCCCACCAACAGGGCTAAGGAGTGATGCGCAGCCGTGGGTGAGCGGACCGAGGTGTGAAGGAGACGCCATGATCCCGCGCAGCTGGCAGCGTTCTCAGTGCTTGAAGGAGCCGAGAGCATCCGGTCTGAGCCCCAGTCTGTGTGCCATGCTCTTGCGTAAATTAGCATCCTTGGTTCTGGCAGATGACTTGTCCCTCCCGCCAAAGGATAGCACCGCCCTTGCAGATCTGCGTCAGCAAGCCCCACTGAGAGACGTCGGTAGGCAGTCATGGTCACTGCGTACCTGGCACTGAGGATGCAGAGTGAGGAGCCAGGTCTGAAAGCACCAGGGAGGCTGGGCAGATGTTTCGGGGGCAAGCGATCCCTGCGAGGACCCTTGTGCTTACTGAGGAGCGAATGCTAGGAAGAGGCAGGAGACCTGCCGTGGCTGGCTGGGCTGGCGTCGAGGAAGGAGCAGCCGGGGCTGGGCATCTGCGAGGGCCCTGGCCGCCTGGCAGATGGCTCACTCTGCCCAGCCCCATTGTTAGGCAGAAGCTTGCCCAGTGTGGCCTGGTAGCCAGGCAAGCTAAAGGCTAAAAAGAGGAAGCACCAGGATGACATTGGTTTTCAACCAATATCTGATTAAGGAAGTTGAGTCATTCTGCTTCTGCTATTTATCCCTTCTGGGCATTCAGACATTCAGGACAAGTTTTTACTTCCGGATGAAATAATTAGAGGGGGTTTGCTCTAGGCCCTCAGTGGACATTTTCAAGATGGCCCTGTACGACAGAGATCCTTCTTTGCCTGCTACATGGAGAGTCAAGGCTCCAGTGTGAACACCTTGGGTAAGGCTGTGGACTTTTTGGTTATATGATACCAAAACATCCAGCAGCTCAGCAGTGGCTCTCAGCCTGAAGAAGGGAAAAGGAATAAATATTCATTTAGTGTCTTTTGTTGGCCACCACCCGATTGGCATTTTGTATACTGTGCTGTACCTCTGCCACCCACAGAACAGCTCTGGAGAAGCTGAGAAAAGTCAGGGAGCCTGTGGGAGGTCAGGGCACAAGCTCAGGAGGCAGCAGCTGAGTGCGCGCACACACACACACACACACACACACACACACACACCCCCCACCCCCATCCTGTCTCGGAGCTATGTTAGGGTTTTACTACTGAGCTTATCCCAGCCATGTCTTTACACTGGGCAGGAAACACTGACCACTGCGCTGGGTTGCTCCCAGCAAATCAGTTATATTCCTACATCTATAAGGAACCTTAGAAGGTTTCTAAGTCCACTGGTTTCCAAATTCTTCTTGGACACCTAGGATTCTGTAGGGATCCTTGGTGGATGAGGGGGTGCTAGGCAGGTTGGGCTAGAGCAGCTGTCTGTAATGTGAGTTGCATACCAGTTGCTTGCTGTAGCTTTCATATGTTGGAGGATAAGTCAGGATTTCACTTGATAAAAATGGCCCTACTACTCTTTCCTCTCAATTGCCAAGGTTAGAACTTATAACTGCTAGTTCTTCATCTGGCATTTTCACTATACTTTACTTACTAAAAGAGGCTGGGGATTTAGCTTAGTGGTTCCAGCAGCTGCTTTGTAAGCCCAAGGACCCAAGTTCGATCCCCGGTACCAAAAAGAGAAAAGAAAAAGATCAATATTTCAAACATTAGTTTTGTGTCTTCCAGTGAATGAAAAATTCATCTAGCTTGTACCTCATTCCTGTCCTAGACCCCCAAAGAGCAGAAATCTCACTGTCCAAGATGTTGTTGTCATAGCCTTCAACCAGCACTGTCTGGTGGTCCTTTCTCCACAGTGGAGATGTTTTCCATCTGCACTTTCCTAGCTAGTGTAATGAGGAACTGTTTTTTTTTTTTATTTATTTAAATGTAATCAAATGTGAACAGCTAGCAGCTACCATTTTGGACAGTGGAGCCTTTGAGAATAGGGCAGGGACAGAATGGCAGTCCCTGGCCGCTTGACATCAGAACTGACCAGAGAACTTAGTAGTAGATTCCGGAGCCAGGGCACAGAGGTGCACATCTATAACCCCAGCTCCTTGAGAGGCTGAGGCAGGAGAATCACAACTTAGTGAGACCTTAGCTCAAAAATGAGGGCTAGGGTATAGCTCAGTGGTAGAGCCCTTGCCTTGCATGTGTGAGGCCCTGGGTTCAGGTCCCAGCACCATTACAAAGAAAACATCTGTGTATAATGACAGTGACTAACTCAGTAGATCTAGGCTGAGCACATTTTGAGAATTCACAGTCATCTACCTTGCACTCAGGCTGGCAGCTGTGGCAGTAGAGCTCACTCTTCACTGCAGAGAAGGTGCACACCTGGCCCTGAGCAGCCTCCTGGGGAGTGGAAGCCCCTGGAGAGCCTGAGGAATGCTGTGCCCTCTTCCCTGCGAAGACACAGATCTCAGGTCCTTCTGGGGCTCCCAGGTGAAGTCCTCTTGCAATAGGGCTCAGGGCTGACCTGATGCAGATCCATTCATCCTGCCTCAGACTCCTGCAGGGATCATCAAGGCACCAAGGGGGACCACTGTAAAACCACTGTGGGGACTCAACTTCCCTTTCCTCCTTGTGTGACCACTCATACCCTCAGCACTAATGTGGTACGGAGAGCAGGAGGTGAGGGCCCTGGAGGCCAGAGTGGAGTGAGGAGAATGTCCAGGCTGCACGGCGAGGCGGAGCCCTGCTTGCTTCCAGAGGCCAGGGCAGAACTGGCTCCCACTTAGGCTGTGGGAAGAAGTAGGGGCAGAGCCTTCTGACAAAGCCCAGGACTGGGAAGGCCACTGGCCCGCGTCCCAGGGTTAACACAGAGGCACAAAGAGTGGGGAGGGAAGCAGGGAGCGGGCCTGTGTATGCTGAGAAGAGCTGTCGCTGGGCCAGGCGTCTGAGAACAGCCTCCTGAACTTGGAGGCTGTCGGTGCATGGCTGAGTCATGATCATGTGGCCCAGGAAAGCAGCCACAGAAGCTTTGCTGCTCCCAACCAGTGACTGCACCCAGGGAGGTGAGGGTCCAACTGGCATCTGCTGGGTCAGCTTCTCAGTAGTCTCCTGTGTCTCTGCAGCAGGCTGTGGCTGAGTCATCAGGGATGAGACAAGAGGGAGGCTTTGGGAGGAGCTCAGCTCAGCTCAGTATGAGCTTCCAGAGCACAGGCTGCTGGAGCCCCTGGGCCTTGCCTTCCCTACTTGTCAGCTTGGCTCCTCTTTATCCCTGGTCAAGGAAGACAATCTAAGGCCTTTGTTTCCCTTGTTAGACCAGTACTGAGTGTGTGTGTGTGTGTGTGTGTCCTGAGGGTGCCACAGTAGGCAGGGGGAGTGCAGAAGCAGTGCTCAGAGGCTGGTCCTCAGTCCTGGCCCTGTGACCTTTGGTGATTCTGCTTAATGAGACCCCTGCTCTTCCCATGAAAATGAGTGGACGCCTGTGAGCACAGCTCTCCTGCTGTTAGTATAGGAAGATGGGGTTGGTTCTTAAGACACATTTCCCCTGGTTAAGAGGCCAAGAAAAGTAGAGTCTGCAGTAGGCCTTGGTTGGTTGTCTGGCTGAGGAGAGGGCTGGGAAAGTGTGCAGGGTGTGGGAAACTACTGGTCAAAAGAACAAGTCTGCCTTGGAAGCCTTCAACTGCCTTTTAGTCTGTGTCTTGTACTCTTTTTGTTTGTTTGCTTGTTTGTTTTGGTACCGGGGAATCAAACTCGGGACCTTGTGCTTACGAGGCAGGTGGCAGAACCACTTAGCTAAATCACCAGCCCTGTGTGTCTTCTACTCTTGAGTAATTACTTTGAGGGTAACAATACACAGAATATTAAGTATTATTATTCTCTTATTATTTTGCTATGAACTTTTTTTTTATTTAAAAAAAGAATGGTGACCAAATAACATGAGGGTGCCGTTCAAGCTGTTCAGAATCTGGCTGCCAGAACTAGGCATCTCTGCTAGAAGCCAGGCTGCTCTGGTTGGAGTTAGGAGGCCCTTGAAGGCAGTGGTGGGGAACCAATCAACAAGCTCAGCGAACCCCACACAACCTCCCAGTCCAGCTGGGAGGCTCTTGCAGAGCCAACTTGGTGGGAAATCTGAGCAAAGCAGGCTGCAGGAAGAAGGCTTGAGCCTGATCTTCCTCAGCTGCCTACTGTCTCATTTAACGTGCAGGCCTCGGGGGTGGCAAAAGGCCAGCAGCCTTAGAGGAGTGGCTGTATGGGTCCTGCCCCTCTGCCCTAAGCACAGAGGCGTGATCCCAGCTTTGTGGCATCGAGTCAGGGAAGACTGTCTATAACTCCTTTAAGACCAGCCTGCCATCAGAGCAGTTGTTAAAAACCGGCCTGTGTTTGGTGAATTATAAAGGTTTACATCCTGGCCCTGGCCCTGGCCTTAAAAAAGGCTTTCACACGCTAGCAGTCTCAGATTGTTGCAGTTCTGCCATTGTTTCTCGTGGCAGTTCCGGTCACGTAGCATGGGGGCAGATGGTGGGCAATGCAGGGTCACTGTCCCGTCAGCCTGCTTGGGAAGGTGCAGGCCTGGTCTAGAGAACCCTGAGAGAGCTGGAGTCCCATCCTCTGTCCTCAGATGCCAGAGGTCCTGACTGGTGCTGAGGCTTCAAGTGTCTCTGCGATTGCTAACACTGCCTGAAAGCTGGTGTGGTGCGCGTGGGATCCCAGCACCTGGAAGTCCAAGTCCCAAGAATGGAAAGTTTGAGCCCCGTCTGTACAGTTTGGTCACTTAGTGAGACTTTGTCTCAAAAATATTTCTCATAAGCCAGGGATTTAGCTCAGTGGTTCCACTGCCTGCCTCGCAAGTGCAAGGACCCGAGTTCGATCTCCATTACCAAAAATAATAGTTTTCAAGGGGGCTTGGGATGTTAGTTCCATGTAAAGGCTCTGGGTTCAATCTCCAATGCCACAAAAAATTTAAAAATGAGGAAAGGATGGAAAGGAAAATAAAGAGAAAATTGTCACCTAGAAGTTTTCAGCAAAGGAGTTTAGACATCGAAGGAGGAGGCGCGTTGGTCGTTTCTGGAGAGCTAAAACACAGATCACCCTGGGAAAGGAGCCAAGTGCGCAGCACCTTTGCAGGCTGAGTGCTAGACTGCATTAGACACGCGATCCTGCCGTGCACAACAACACCTCCACGGGTCACGGGCCTCGCTATGTGTTTTGTTTTGTTTTGGGGGGGTGGGTTTTTTTTGTTCCAGGGATTGAACTTGGGTCCTTGCACTTGCGAGGCAGGCGGCTCAGAACCACTGAGCCAAATCCCCAGCCCTATGTGTTCATCTAGACGACAATGACCCAGCCCGTAAGGTCCTGTTGCCCGGCGTCGTAGGCATCTGATTTGTGTGAGCGCACTTTGACGTTCACACGATGATTGCCTGACGATGCATTTCTTGTTAAGCTTATGTGACTGAATACCCCTGCGGGATCTTATGCTGGGGACAGACCAAACCTGAACCTCTCCACGTGGAGAAGGGCCCCTTGGGCAGCGTAAGCGCGTCCTCTGCGAAAGCAGTGCTCCTGTGGGGTTAAAGTGGTGAGAGTTTTGGAGGGTGGGGTTCGCCACCTGCCCTGGGGAGGCAGAGTTTGCCAGACAGTAGTGTCAGTCATTGTGCAGGGAAGAAACAGCCACCTGAGGTTTGTGACCCCCTTTGGCCCCAAGCCCACAGAGGAGGCTGTGTGTGTTGGGGTACAGGAGGGCCGGGGTTCCTCACGTGGAATGTGTGTGCATGGTGAGAGGCTACTCCTGCCCTGCGGGAGGATGAGTCCACGTAGCAGAAGGAGGCCGACGCTCAGCCCCGCCTTCTCCTCTGGCCCTGCCGGTCTGGGCTCAGCAGTGAGCAGCTCTGTCTGTCTGTAGGGGAGCGTGAGCCCGGAAGATGGCAGTGATGGAAGTAGCCTGCCCTGGCAGCCCTGCCTCGACCGTGAAGCAGCAGCAGGAGCTCGCCAAAGCCCAGGAGAAGACGCAGGCCCTGGGGAAGAAGCAGAGCTGCGTGCAGCTGGAGGCCGTGGGCAAGAGCCCTGTGTTCTGCGGAAAGTGGGATATCCTAAACGACGTGATCACCAAAGGCACCGCCAAGGAGGGTTCTGAGGGTGGCCCGGCTGCCATCTCCATCATCGCCCAGGCGGAGTGTAAGCTCTGGGTGCTGTGGGCATGGGGCAGGCCAGCCTCCGAGTCCCTGTGACAGAGGTCAGGGTGACCGCTATGAGATTCTCGTAGGACACCGTGGGGTGCAGGTGTGGTGGTGCACACCTGTAATCCCGGCACTGGGAAGGCTGAGGCAGGAGGATCGCTGTGAGTTCCAGGCCAGCCTGGGCTACCTAGTGAGTTCAAAGCCAGCCTGAACAACACAGGAAGACCCTGTGTCAAAAAAAAAAAGTGGGGCTGTTGGGAAGCCGAGGCAGGAGGATCACAATTTTGAACCCAACCTGCACAACTTAGCATCCTAGCAAGACTGTTTCAAACTAAAAAATTAAAAGGGCTGGAGATGGAGTACAGTGGTAGATATCCCTGGTTCACCCCAGAACCACCAGACGAAAGAGATACTTGGGGTTCTGAGTGCAGGGCCAGTGTGCAGTGTGTGAGGCCACGCTGTGGGGACCTGAGCTGGGGAGCGTGCTGTGAGGTGCAGGGCAGGACTCCGCAGGGTCACCGGGCCGGCCCTCGGAGGCCAGCTGC